CAACACTATTTTGCACTTTACAATATTATTTACGATAAATAATATTGTAATAGCAAAAGTGCAAAATAGTGTCGTAATAGCTCATTTGAAAGATAATATTTGATTTTATTTATTTAATTTAATTTATACAATAAAAAGAGTGGTAATTAAATTTAAATTTAACAACTATTTTATACTTATTAGTGACACAAAAAAATATACGAAAGTTTTTTTTGGTTAAAAAAAAAAGCTTCTTATTCTACAACTTAGACGATAATTATACAAAAATAATTTTAGAGAATGTAATTTTTTTTACTTTTGTTCACCAACTGGCTCACTCTGCGCATGCTTAAAAGGTTAGGCGGCATAATTTAAAAACTAAACCTGTCAACAATCCAATGATATATTAAGAATAACTAGATGTCTAACTGCCGTAAATCGGTATAAGAAAAAGTGAAGCAAAAATCGGCCATTATGGGGGGCAAAATCTTTACGCTATTAATCAAAACAAAACAAACATGAAGCTTAAAATTGTTTAAAAATGTAATCAATAAAAAATCGATACACAGATATCTGAAAAAATTGATGTTATTTTTATTTTGATTTAAAATTTAATAATTATGTAAACATGCATTGTTTTTTTAAACATTTCAAAATCATACTTATTTCATTTTTTTTATTTTAAAATTTAAGTTTGAATGATTTTAAAATTTAACATTCAGCTAAAATCTTAGATTTAGTTGGATTTTAATCTTTAATCTATTAACATTTTATGCACCTGTTAGTCATTAATTACCCTCTGCAGTAATGCTAGGAGGTTTTATAACATAACTGCAAGGTAAACAGAGTTAAAACTTGTAATGAAACATTTTATAAAACTGTCTTGACTATTAACTAAGTTCTGTGTGACACAACTTAGAGGTTCCTTCTAGAAATGTTAGAATTTTATTTATGGTTAAATACTTCTTGTTATCATAAAAATCATTATTACTTTTTTCTATAATTGATTTACCGTCAATTAAATTTAATTCAATATAATAATAATTATGTTATAATCTAGTAAGGTTTTCAACACAAAAAAAGCTTTATAGGTATTCAGGTATATAAAGAATATCTTTCCTTTGAAAAGCAAGTTTTTTAATATAAACAACAAATCAAGAAAAGTAACAGATAATAAAACTTAATTTAATATTTTTATTTATAATATTTTCATATATATATATATATATATATATATATATATATATATATATATATATATATATATATATATATATATATATATATATATATATATATATATATATATATATATATATATATATATATATATATATATATATTTATATTTATGCTATAAACCTTTGAATAAAATTAATTTATTTGATTGTTGACGTAGACCAATCAATATATATATATAGACCAACTTTTCTGTATATAATTGGCCATATCTTTGCAGTCTGATTGTAAAAAAGTCATTTGCTAACATTTTTATTAGTTGTGTGCAATGCATGTCTTCAGTAACAGCTTCATGGTCAGCATCGTGTTCATTTAGGTCTTTAAAAAAAATGTTTTTCAATAATAATTTTATTAACTGCATAAATCATTTTCAGTTTAAGATTTCGCTCCACATTCATTTTTGGTTTTTTGAAATTGTCATTGCTGACATAAATTTAGAAAACGCTCTCATATACTATTATAGTTTGTATAACACCATTTTTTGGAGCAATAAGCACATTCCTATTTTTATGTTAATCAATGAAAGAACTGATGCTCTATAAGAATATTCCACAAAATTGTTTTGTGTGAGTTTGCACACATAGAACATGTTATCTTATAATAATCTTCTTACAATAAATCCAGAGCTATTTAAAAATTACAATCCTTAAGTCGCTCTAAATCACATAACACATTTCTAGTTAATTTTAGCAAATGACTTGGGTCAGGGATTACATACAAGTAGTGATAATAGCCTTCAAAAGTAAATTGTCCATTAATTTTTTCTAGTCTTTTCCCAAATGTACATCTTAGTGATGCAACAGAATTAAAGTTAACACTTACACTATCAAGTGTAATTTTACTACATTAATTTTTTTATCAGAAGAAATTGTTAATGCTTTTTTAATAAGATATGAAAGGTTTTCAGTTGTTATTTTACTACACAGCATAAGGCCAATAGGTGTTTTCCAATGACCTCATAATCCTACCAGCATAAATACCAATGCTTCTGTAGCTGGTGTATCTGGTTCAATTGCGACAATATCTTTTCCATAATATATAAAGCCTATGAATCAACCTGCCTTTTAATCACTTAGAACTGATGTTTTGATTACCATTGAATCTATAATTAATGCACAATCTTTATAATTAATATCAGCCACTGCTTTTATATTAATATAACTTAAAACATCTTCAAAAAAAACCAGTTTTACAAACTACAAAAGAAGTCCAGTTGGCTAAAGAGCTTGAAGCAGGTAAATGGAGTATAGGCCGTAGAAAATTTTATGCTTTAGGTGAGTAAAAATTCAGAGTTATTGCAAATTTTTTAATTTCATCAGTATACCTATGCCCTTTAGGAAGTGAGGTATTGTTTTTAAACTGATTTTTTATAATATCAAAAGTCAATCCACTAAAGTTTTCAATATAAATTGTGTTAATATTAGCAGCAACATTACTGTTATCGCTTATATCCGAATAGAAATCGATGTAATGGTGACTGCCTGTTTCTGAAACTTTTTTAAATGAGGCTCTTTTTATTTGTTTGTGACGATATAGAACTAAACTTTTTTTTGACTTTTGGTTTTGAATCAATAGTAATAGATGGTATAGAAAAAGGTTTTAATTGCGGTTTGTTATTAAAATCAGGTATATTGTAATCTGAAGGTAAAAAGTGATCACTACAAATGCAGCTGTGCTCAGTAGAAATGTTTCACGTTTTATAGCAACAATCCACTTTTTACAGAGTTCGCTATTACTAATTGGAAATTTATGAAATACTCTGTTGTTGTTTTTCATTGCTCTATTTGTGCAACCTGCTGCTGCACAAGAATTAACCATGATTTCTAATTTTTGAATATTAAATATTATTTGATCCAAACAACCGTGATTTACTATTTATTTTTGCCCCCCATAATGGCTGTTATTTGCTTCAAAAAATACGCGGAAGTTAGACATCTAGTTATTTTTAATATATCATTGGTCAATCCTTATGTTAAATATTTTAGTGACGTGAATAAACATTGTAAATGACGTCACTAGAATATTTAACATAATTAGGTTTGACAGGTATCGATTTTAAATTATAGCGCTAAAACCTTTTAAGCATGCGTGAAGATCCAACATTCGAGTCAAGATTCGAGTCATTTATTATTTACCTTCTGTTATGTTACTCGTATTGGATTATTTTTGTGATTGGTTAAAATTCTATAACTTTGAAAAATTTGAAATGCGAAGTAATGTGGGAACAAAAATAAATCAAAGCAATATTTCTGTAAAAATTTTAGTTTTGAAACTACACATACACATAGTATATTCAACAAAACATATTAAAAGGATATTTTTTTAACAAGAAATTATTTTTGAATAAATTTTTTTTAACAAGAAATTTTAAGTTGATGTTTAAAAATAATACGTTGAATTTTTCATATATGTTTTTTAATATATTTTGTGCTCAATAAATAAAACTGAATAACAGTTAAACGCGGTTAACTGAATGTGTTTTTTTTTTTTTTTGAAAAACAAAACAAAACAAAACTATTTTGTATATTTCAAGCACTTTTTAAATTTTTTGTGCAACTCCATTTCACAAAAAATTGTAGAGTTGACCTTAAACCAATTGTAACAATCCTTAATAGTATTATGGATTGTTACAATTGGTATTATTAATATCTATCAATTTGAGTATTATTAATACTCTATTATAAAGTCATCACATAGTCTATACACAAATAATAAAAATAAACAAATAATAAAAAAAAAATGCGATTTAAAAAAATCGCTTATAGATTTAAAAAAGCAACAACAACAAAGTATAAAGATAAATGTTGCAGAAAGTATAACTACAAAAAAGATTTAAAAAAATTGGCTACTTTTTAAGTATTAGAAGTTATATATCTAAACCTAAATACATTGAGTGAAACCACCTCATTTTAAACTTAATATATGTCTATGATATGTATTTAACCTCAAGCCAATTGGCTTGAGATTAAATACATATCAATGAGTGCCTTTATTTTTTAGTTTATGGTTCTTGTGTATCAGTAATAGTATAGACCATTTTATCATATTTCATTAATGAACAGGCACATGCTAGATTAAAATAATTAAATTATCTTGTTTATCTATAGAATAAACATTTGATTATACAATTATTATTTAACTAAAAGATCAGCACCATTTTAGCATATTTCATTAATGAACAGGCACACGCTAGATTAAAATAATTAAATTATCTTGTTTATCTATAAAATAAACTTTGATTATACAATTATTATTTAACTAGAAAATCACGGCTAGTATTTTCAAATCATTATGTTTTCAAGTGTGATAATGATCATAAAACATCCAAGCAATACTGTAAAACCTATTTTAAAAATTTTCAAAACCAGCAAGTAGTAGAAATGATTGAATCACAATCACTAGATCTTAATGCAATCAAGTTACTATAGCAAGAACTTGGCAGGATATGTATGACAAATACAGTCATCTTCTACATATTAGCTTATGGAATTATTGTAAATGAAATTAAACACAATGCAACCTAAAACAATGCATAAATTGTTTGAAATTTTACTGAAGATCTGTCGAGCTATAATAAAGAATAAAGGAAGTTATTTTAACTAATCAAAAATTTAATTAAAATGTTAAGTTTAATTAAGTTACACTTAAAATATTTAATAATGTTTAGTAAACACAACAATTGAAGTACAAATTAGACTTGAAAATTTTCTTTTTTCATTTCTAAAAATTTAGTACCTGCTGCAGAATTTGTAAATAAATTTAAAAAATATGATAAAAATGTCAATAATTGGATATTTTTATGTAAGTATTAAATAATAATGATGCCATTGCTTGCATTTGATCAAACAACATTGAATGAAGTTCTTGAAGTAAGAGCTGAACCATTATTTGAATCTGAACTTTGGAGTTTATTGTTGCAAGCAAGTCTAGCTTTACAAAGTATTATGGATAAAGGTTCTTATTTTTTAGTTTCTTTAACTGTGTCAAAATTGTTTATAATTTAAATTATAATTAAAGTTTTATTTTATACTTTTTTAAAATAATGTTTATAAATTTTTTTTTTATCATATGTTAACTTAATTTAGTTGCGAAAGAAAAATTATTAGATCTTACTTCAACTCTATGCCCTGATACCATTATATTATGTTTAAATGGTAGAATAAAATTTGGTGTTTGTGAACAAGGTGAGTTAAAATTTTTTTAAAATACTAAATTATAAATTTAAAATTTGATAAAGGTCAGTTTTCTTTAATTTCAAAATTTGACAGGTTTAAACTATTGCTGCTGATTCAGCTATTTTTTGTATGAGTGTTTATGGGCAGTTTATTAAATAAAAGAATGGAATATATAAAAGTGTTTTTACTATCAAAACAAGCTAAGAAATTCTCATAATTACCTAAATTGCTGTTGTCACAATGAAACTTTATATTTTTGTAAAACTGGTTATCTGATTTTGCATGGATGCTTGGGTGTATATTATCTGGATATCCTTTGAACCTTGTATCCAAGCATTTATAGATAATTTGAGTACATAAAAAATTTACCTTAAGAAGGGTTGATAGATTTAAACCAGGGTTTAAATTAATCTAAAAAATATCAATTAAAATCAAACTAATTTTCTATTTAAAACATCAAAACCAATTGGAGTTGTTCTAGATAAGCTGCAAAGAGATCAAATAAAAATAAGTGGCACTGTTCAAATTTTTAAAGAACTGATAAACATGTTATCATTTTTATCTACTGATAAAAAAAGTATTGGAAACTAGATATCATCAGACTTTCAATGGTGCTCATTTTCTGGCGAGCACACTAAATCTTAGATATTTTGGATCTAATCTTTCTTAAAATAAAGCTGCAATGACTTTTGGAGATAAAGAGTTTAAAAACTTGGTTCCAATAGAATTCAAGTTGAAAGCCAAATGTGCTCCATTTGATAAAAGGTATTTGTATAGTAAATCTATTTTAAAAAATGTATCACTAGTGGAATGATGGAAATCTCCAAAATATTTGGACTGCAACATTATCATGGATATTGAAGGTTGTTAAGCGCACCAGCTTCTAGTGCTGGGAATTAAAAGAATTTTTTTGACTTTTGGATTTGTTCATTCCAAGTTAAGAAATAAGATTGGAGTAGAAAAGGCAGCAAAGCTTGTTTTTATATACAGAACATTAAATGATGTATTAGTTGATGAATTACAACAGTAAAAGTTAATAGAAAATATAATTTACTCAAATAAAATGACTTTTTTAATTGAAAAAGTTGACTAAACATGTTTTTTTTTTAAAAAAAAAAAAGAGTTTAAACCAAAAAAACCATGGTTTTTTTGGTTTTTTTTTTAAAAAAAAAAACATGTTTATTTTTTTAAAAAAAATGTTTTTTTGCAATCACAACAAAATTTCAGAAGTTTTTATGCAAATTGAGGAAAAAAAGCAAATTTGATAAAAAAACTTATTTTCAATTATATCCTGATTGCATTCCTCCATCACTGTATGGCATCATAAAAGTTCTAAAATCAGATAAAAGCTATCTAATGATACCAGTGAATTTCACTATAAGTATTCTGCCTTATGGTTTTTCTATGGAGCTCTTCCTGTGATTATTGACATGCCTATTAATTGAATAATTTAATGCTTTTTTTTATATAAAAATGTAATTAGAATCATACCAAATTTGGGCACTATTGGACTATCACTAATGGTTGTTGTTGCAGAAGCATTTTTTCAATATCTCTGCAACATGGCTGTAGATGACAGCAATGTGAACAAGTTCCTATATTTTTAAGATCAACAAGATCCCACAATTCAATACACATCAATAAAAGAAAATGAAACGAAGAAATTAAACTTTTTAGATAAAACAACTATAAATACAAATAATTTCCACTATGATGTCAAAATCTATCAAAAATCTGTAGTTACGAATATACAAATAAAACCAAGTTTAAATATTAATCTTGTAATAGCTTCTGGAGCCTTGAAAGGTTTTATATTAAGTACCACAAAGATTTGTTCCCCAAAATACCTTAAAATTAAATACAATTTAAAATAAATATATTTGTTAAAAATGGCCATAAAAGATCATTAAAGCAAAAATATAACATATAATATAAATATAACTTATAACAAAAAATCTCAAAATCCAAAACAATAATTTAGATGTTTTAGATTAGTCACAAATAAAACAGAAAATGGTTGCACAACACTAAAACTCCCATGGATTCCAAAACTGGGATCAAAATTAAAGAAAGAACTAAAAAAAAAATGATGTTAAAATTATAATTACAAACGTGCCAACTTTGAAAACAATTGTAATAATAAATCCAAATTATTACCAAATTGCAATCCAGGTGTTTATAAGCTTATGTGTTCACACCCTAGTGTTCATATCAGAAAAACATATAAGAAAATTTTACTGCCTTTTATGCTTACCTCAGGTAAGCATAAAAGGCAGTTGACACGCTTCCGAACACTGCAAGGAATACTAAGGTATATTTAACTTGATGCACCCCAAAACAATTGTAATAGGAATTTGGTGTTAGAATTACATCAAACAGTTACAGAACTCTTTTAAAATATATCTAATTAGTTTTCACCTTATGTCAGTTCATCTTTATGTCTTATATACAAATATTTTTATTATATTTTAATTTATGTCTGACGATAGTCTTTGCTAATCAGTTTGAAAATGTTTTTTAAGATATTGTCAGTTAAAATAATGCTGATCCAGCATGTTTTAGTTATCTGTCACACCTCCCCACAACAGCATTTATGTTTCAAAAAAGTGCACATGTCCAAATTAAGTTTTTCTAACAAGGTATGATTATAGTGTACACAAAAAAGTATTTCACAAAATTTGAAAAGCATGTCCTGAAAAAAAAAGGTGCTTATTGTGATATAAAAAAAGTGTGTTTTTCTCTCATTAACATATACAGAAAAACAACAAGATCGTAATAGATCGTTTTTTTGATCGTTTTGTTTTTTTGTGGAAATCATTTGGAAATTTGTATCTGGAAAACTCACTGAATCTTGAGTGAATAGTTTCTCCTGTCTGTTCGCTGTAAATTCCCAGTCCGTAGCCATTATTTCTACAAAACTCCTTTACATGGCAAAATAATCTATGGAGTTTGGTACTCTTTGTTTTGATCTCCAAAGTAATAAAAATATCAAAAAAATCATCTATTACTTTTTCAAAATCCATACTGAGTATCTTGCTAAAATATGAGTAAGCCACAGTATTAAAAGCATTAAAGGCATCACAAAATCCCCTAAGATCTTCAGGAAGAGCATCTCTAAGCTTATTTGTTAATCTCATCAATTTCTTACACTGGTTTCCTTCAAACTCTCCATCGTGAAGTTTTTGTCTGACAAGGCAATTCCTTTCTAAGAAGATTTCCCATTTTTCTTGTCCCCATTTTGTTGATAAGTTATTCCACAATAGATTAATTGTTCCTCTATAGATATTAAGTTTGGTTATATTGCATACTTCCATAACTTCAGCTTCATCATCTCCTGGCAGAAGTGATTGATTCTTGCAATTATAAAATTCTTTCAGTGATGAGTCAGAATTACATCCTTGTTTCCATACAAGATTTTGCTCTCTAATTGTTCTAAAGGTTCGTTTATCTCCTCTAGAGTAAAGCCAATCTACACAATCTGTACTCTTATTACAGAAGCAACAAGGATACTTTGAACTATGAATTGAAGTCCTAAAATTAAGTTATGTAGTTTCAAATTGGCGCAAATTTTAAACTGAATATTTCTAAAGTCAAAAGTTTTGAAAAAGACAGCACAGTTTTCATAATTCTCCTGAATATTTGGGACTATTCCTATGAGTAATGTCTGATCAACGGACATTTCTTTTTTCAGGTTCGGATGATGATGGTATCTCTTGGTGATATCACTAAAATAACTTGCCATACCAATAGTGCCGATTCCAAGTGTAAAAAAACCTCCAAAGCCATCAGCAAATACTTTCACCTTAACATTAAAAGCGTCTTGTTTTCTTTTTTCAATCATTTTCCAGGTGAGTTCTTTCACATCTTTAACAAGATGTGAAAGAACTCACCTGGATCGTACAATTAAAGTTCAGTTTCCGAATTATAGAAATCACGGTTAACTGCTGAGAAGTACTCTACTAAAGAACCATTGTTATATACCATGAATTCTTTAAACCCAGCTTCTATTGATTTTCGACCGTGCTTAACCCGAATTGCTTTTGATATTGCATCCATATCAGAACCAGACAACTTTCTATCAACCTTAATGGTCATCAAATCTTTGTGACTCCATTCTGCAGTATCAAAGATGTATCTGAAAGTGTTATGTCTGTTTTTTGATAGCATATACAGCAGCATATATATATATATATATATATATATATATATATACATATATATATATATATATATATGTATGTATATATATATATATATATATATATATATATATATACATATATATATGTATATATATATATACATATACATATACATATACATATACATATACATATACATATACATATATATATATATATATATATATATATATATATATATATATATATATATATATATATATATATATATATATATATATATGTATATGTATATGTATATATATATATATATATATATATATGTATATGTATATATATATATATATATATATATATATATATATATATATATATATACATATATATATATATATATATATATATATATATATATATATATATATATATATATATATATATATATGTATATATATATATATATATATATATATATATATATATATATATATATATATATATATATATATATATAATAGAAATACAAATATTATTGTTTACTAATTTTAAAATTATTTAATTATTTAGTTTTAAAATGAAAAAAATACTCTTAATTGATGGGACTTGCTTTTCAAATTTTGTGAAATACTTTTTTGTGATCACAATAATAATACCTTGCTAGAAAAACTTAATTTGGACGTGTGCACTTTTTTAAAACATAAACACTTTTGTGTTTATGTTTTAAAAAAGGTGTGCAGTAGAGATAACAAAGCAATTTTGATTAATATCTGGATAATGGTTTCAAGGATTTCCCTTAAATTTTGAACCCAAATAGATTTTTATTTGAGGAACACAAAAATACTAACCTATAGCTTAATAGTTTTAAGAAATGCCTTATTCAATTTTATTCAAAATTATTGACTATATTGGTAAAAACATTGTTAAATATATTAAACTTAAGGACGATTCTCAAATTAGTGAAACCAGAGAGCTAATTTTTCAAACACACTTTTTTTACAATTTTTTTTTTGCATATTTTTATAATAAACTAGCTAAATTAATATTTTAAAATACATTTAAAAGTTTTTGTATGGTGTATGGAAAAATATTGATATTAATTTCTACAGTTACTAAAATTTGAAAATTTTCAATTTTTAATGTCAGTATATTATTTTCCATTTATTATAATAAATAAATATTTAATATTGTTATAATTACATAAAAGCATTTTAATAACTATTTAATATAATTTTAACAAAAAAAAATCAATTTTGAAAAAATATTTATACATATATATTACATTTTAGTAAATACCCTTTTTGTGATGTCACACCATAACAAAAAACAATGAAAAGTTTTATTTGTGAGCAAACTAGAATGCTTTTTTTGAAAATATTTTTAATTACAATCAAAAAACATGAATATAATATTGATATTTTTAATTACAATCAAAAAACATGAATATAATATTGATATATTACTTTTTTAAAAATTATTCTCAATTTTTGTAATAAATTTAACAAGAAAACAACCATCGTAGTATTTGAAAGTTATTTCAGTTTGAATTAGCTTAAAAAGATGAATTAAATAATTTTATAAATTATTGATTCCAAGGTTTTTGTAAATTTTATTAGTTTCCTGTTTTAAGTTTAGGTTAATATATAATAAAGATAAAAATGTCTTGAGCTGAGAGATTAAAAACTTTAGAGGAAAAAGAAAAGCTGACAAAGAATACTGTTTAATAAAAATTAAAAGGATTAAGAATATGTGAAAAATTAAAGTTGTAAAAATAAACAGTACAGAAAAAGATTCATATAAAGAAAAAAAAAAATAGAGTGGAAAGAGAAAAAAGCTGAAAAAATATTTTTTGGCAATGTTTTTGAGAGAGGCTTACTCCATTTTTCAATCAACCTATGGAGGGATAATGCCTTTCTCTACATTTTGTAAGCTTAGGCCAAAAAACATATTTTTTTTTTCAGAAGAAACACCCACAGACCAGTGTAAGTGAAAACTGCATGAGAAATTTTGCTTATTACTTAAAGAAATAGACATTAGCTATAATAGTTCATATTGAGAGTCTTTAATTACATTTCAAAAATGGGTTATGATGGGTGATTCAATGAATGCAAGTTGTTTTTCAAAACAAGTGACTCAAAGTCATCTGATTTTCAAATAAACTATATTAATGACCTGCAAGTTCCCAAAATATTTTCTCCAGAATTGGCTTTTAATGATTGGTGCCTAGTGAAGAACAATGAAACTATGTACCCTAATAAAATAAAGCTTAAAAAGTTGAAACTTAAAAAAAAACTATATAACAAAAGTGCTACTCAGTTTAATCTTTATTTCAGATATGTTAAAAAAATGAAAAAAAAAAAAAAAAAGTGTTTCAAATTTATTAAATTATTAGGATTTCATACAGTGTCACACATGTAACAAAATTTGTCACACACATAACACTAAAGATTATCACTTATTTTTGAGAAGTTATTAAAATTGTG